AAATGGAGTTTCGAAAATCTGCAAAATCACGAAGTTGAACTCATCTGTCAGGCAGTCGGTAATTGAGCCCGGACGAATGGTGAAAATCTTCGCATAATGAGCCGCCGCAGCAGACTCTCCTCAGCGCCTCTGTGTGGCGGCGAGTTATGAAAGTTCGATCCGGGAAATGTGTGCAGCAGAGCACCCAAATCAAACCATAAATCTTACGCAAATAGCACTCAAAAAGCAATAAGACTATTCCAACGCCATTGTGTGCTAAGTAGATTTCAAGAAGGCGATACAAATTCGAGCCACACAGCGCAGGACAATGCGTTTTCAGATGACCAGGCCCAGGCCCCCGGAAATGCCTTCGATATTGCAGCAGTTGCAGTTTTTGCAGCACTGTGAGAAATTTGTACATACAGATATATTTGGCTTAGAAGATATTTTCCCTATGCACTCCTTAAAATATTCATTATTTTAAGTAGTTTAGTCTGAGAGTTTTGCCAAGAGTTACATAAATTTATGCTAGATATATATAATTTCTTTCTCTGTACTGAAATGGTATAGCTATGACAATGCTGGACCTGGGCTGGACCCTGGCTAATCTATGAGCCAAGATCACAGGCTGTAAGATGCGGCAAGATGTTCTTCCTGTGTCCGTTTGTTTTTCTTTTTGGCCGTTCCTGCTGAATCAATTTGTTAGAGAAACAATGACCCCGCACAGGACAAAGGACAAAGGTTCCTGAGAGGCGTGTGACATTAGCAGACAGTTTGGCGGGCTCCCTTAAAAAGGACAGCCGACTGAGCGGATAATCGGATTGTCCAGGCTGGCGTTGGATCTGGTCAAAACGCAATTTGTGGGTTTTTAGGCCAGTTCAGCTGCCAGTCAGAGTGTGGCGAGTATGCAAAACCTTCGGCGACAACTTTTTCGCGTGCCTAAAAAACACAGCCAGCGGGTGGCTTATCGCCCATCGTTAATCGCTTATCGCCATAATTCCCCCTCAGCACCCAGCACTCAGCACTCAACGCTCGCGAGACTTCAAGGAATTCCAAGGATGAGGAAGCACTTTTGGGACCTGGCAAAAGTGTCACATCCCCGCAACATGCAACGTCATCGTGGTCGCGAGCCATTCGAGATGCATTTCGGCATCGGAGGCATCGAAGGCAGCTGACCCAACATGCAAAGGAGATAATCACGATCGCAGCAGCCGCCTGCGATGGCCACTGAGCCGCATTTATCTCATCTTGGCCATCAATAAGTCGTATACGACCCAGGGATATGCCTGACCAGAGTGACTGCTTGTCCAGAAATCTCTTCTTGGCCTCCCGCCCGCTGCTTTCTCCCCTTTCTCCGGGTCGAAAGAGTGCCCTGCCTCGTCGTATCTATCCCACAGCAATTCAACTTTGTGCATTTGCAAGTGCCACCATCAATTAAAACTAATAGAACAATTAATGAACACAACAAACACAAACCGCAAAGTGCAACCGCAAAGCGAGAACTTAGAAGGAGACAATAAAAACATGTCGAAGATGAATGTGAAGAGCTCTGAGACTGACGACTACTGAATGCACTTTATTTTTAAAATAAATAATAGAATAAGAACAAAATATAGAAAAGATTTCTTCTGCCTTTAATAATAAATTATTTCTGGCACAACTCTCATTGCTATTTAAATGAATTGTAAGCTGCTTGTTTTTGTTAAGAATTTTTCTTTGACTCCTCAATATCCCTCAACCAAAGAGTAACCAAGTCGCACGCGGAACTGTCTTTTAACGAAACTAAATAAGAAAGTTTTGTTCTACCCTTGGTCTTCATCATCAACATCATAACGTATATGTAATAATCTGCCTGATCATTATTGTCTTTGGCAATTAAGCCAGATGAATAAATAGGCGAGTGAATGAATGGGTAAATGCACGGGCTGCCAGCTCATAATTTCTGAACTCTAATTCCCAAGAAATTAGAAAAGGGTGCGGGCGGGCGTAGATCGCGGGGGCGAGATTGAACTGGGGGCGTGGCCCAGCCGGCGGTTGGCAGGCAAAGTGCACAAACAGTTAAATGCGATCTTCTGCTCCGCGTAATTGCAGTCAAAGGAACATGCAATCCATCTGAGCAGAAACGGAAAACAATTGAATCCATGAATTATGAAATACTTTATGCCAAGCAAAATGCCACAGACATCTCCGCAGACGCGCGCGCCCCCTAATTAACTAAGTGCCACGCACCTTGAAGCCCCAGCTGAGGACTCCAAAGTGAAAACCCATTTTTAGCTTCATGCATTTTTAATTCCCTTAATAGCTTTTGTCTCAGGCTAGACCCAACCAGACATTGATGGACCAGCACCAGCACCCGAAGCAGCAGCAAAAATTAAAACACCAAAAATCCAGTCCTTGCCTCAGCTGCTGGCCAGATGCAGATTAATTCCCGGCCCCAAGTCGTCCGAAAAAGTTGTCCTTACCTGGTCGCATCTGCGGGCTAACTGAGCCAACTAAGCGCAATGTGTTCTCCATCAAAATTAATTACCAACGGCAAGAGGCAGCCGAGCAGCAAGGCCAATTGTCAGTTGTGGCGAGCTCAAAAGTTAAAAGGGGGCGACTTGGCCACCCCTGTTGGCCCACCACACCCACCGCACCCACTCCGCCCCGGGGGCTCATCAGTCAACACTTGCTTAACAGTCTAAAATGATAAATTGCCATCCCCTCGGCTTAACTTCTCTTTCAGCGAATATATAGCTGAGTCAGCTGAAGCTGCTGCATACTTTGCGGCGTTGCTTAATAACGAATCGATCGGAATAACGGTGAAAGTAGGTCTGAATATGAGACTTTTAAAATTAAATCTTATATTCCAGCAGAATAATATTAATATAAACTGAAAGTTTATACAGGTTTTAAGAAGCAAAAACACCTTTAGGACATTAACTCAATAATACCTTGTATAATTCTATTGATTACACAATTTTATTTCAGAAAATGTTTGACTATGTAAGTCATTCCACTTGTGCAACATGAATTAATACTTTTCCCCGCTTCTGGATTCAAATGTGCATACATCACATCGCATAAATTCACGTCGCCAAACAATAAAGTCAAAAGGATAATGCGAATGCAATCGCCACCAATGATGGAGGTTCAAGTCTACTTGCATATGTATACGTTTGTATGCTAAAAATGCAGTGGGTGGCGACTGGGTGAGATTTATTGGCTAATACTGGCACTGCCTGCCCTGCGCATAAGAGTCGAGGCCAAATTAATTAACAACAAGGCAGGCTCATTGTCTGCTGTCGCTCGGGTCGCGTTGTTGGTTTTTAATTAAGGAGTTGAATGGGAATCAAAATTAAAGTGATTTATGCCAACGATAAATGCGTAAGGAGAAATGCCAGGGCTTTAATTATAAACAAATAGGAAGGCAGTAAGACCGCAGCTAACATAAACAAATAATTAAAAGCACGCCGCCAAGTTGCGAAGTCGCTGGGGGTCGATTTTTATTCAAAAACATTTGTGTCAATATTTACCCCCGACACAAGGATGTCAACTAATAGTCTAAGCTAGCGTATCCTTGGCAAGTCCTTGGGCATATCGCTTGGCACTCTCGTTACCCAGTGTTTACCCAAACCGCAGGACCTTAGTGGTGGTGGTGGTGTTGGCAAAGGAACTTTGTTGATGTCCTGTCGTAGATAATGTCACACATGATTGCTCCTGGGCGGTTTCTGTGTGAGTTTCTAATTAAAAATGTAAAACATTTGCTTTTGTCAACGGGACCGCAAAATATCTAAATTGAATACACATTTGTGGGTGACATTTCCCTTTCGGCTTTAGAGCTTTAAGGAGGGTTAAGCAGGACCTGACGAGGTGGATTGATATGCTTGTAGAAGAGCAGGGGTAAACAGAAAATTAAACCAGAAAACCGAGCATTGGCAGAGCACTCTTTTATGTCAAAGAAATATTAAAAAAAAAAGAAAGCTCACTCGATGCCTCCTGTGAGGATTGAACTCACGACCCCTGGTTTACAAGACCAGTGCTCTGCCACTGAGCTAAAGAGGCTCACATGAGTCTTGCAGAAAAATTCCCTAATTAAAGGTAACTTCTCGAATTGACAGAAGTATATATCTAAAATTGAAGTAGAGCACCCATAGCATCTTATCATTCTTATAAGCAGATAAAAATCGATATGTTCGCTATCAACTCTCACAAATGTAGTCTTGTCATACATGAATTTTACCTTCTATTAATGAAAATGTTACATTAACAGAGTTGTACTTCAACTCATATCGATATAGTTTGTACTCTAGTACAAATCGAACTTTTATTTATGAGTAGCAAAAGCTTGACTTTGCAAAATTCTGGCTTCAATTAAACCCGAAATACCCATTTAAAGCCGCAACAAAAAACGGTTAGTCAAACCAAAACTGGTTCTGCTGGCTTAATCCTTCCAGACGAATGCGCTGAAATTATTTATTATGACGCAAAACTTTTTTCCGGCCTCGGCGTTATCTCCTGTCCAATAGAGCCGAGGGGTCTCGGTCTCGTTCTGGGTCTCGCATCCGCCAAAAGCGATACGCCACCAGACCCATCATCCGCCCACTTGCCAAAAAATCAAAAACAAAAGTGAAAAGCTGCCCAGTTAAGCCCTCGATAAAGAGCTTTAAAAGGTGTGTGCCAGGACAATTTGGTTAAGCCGAATTGTTCAGTTAGCGCAACTTCAAAGGCTGCAAAATCTGCTCAGGCGGCACAATCGAATGAAATGGGTAATTTTTCGAGGATAATTCCCTTTAAGAGCGGACTCAGATGGGCGATTAACTTTTAATCGAAAAAAGGTCAGCGGTAACGGTTTACTCAAAATAATTTGCAATGCAAAGTGGAATCAGGAAAATACAGCAATGAAATCTCATTCAGCAAGCACAGAGCTAGTACTGTGGTGCATGGTAACCCTGGTGGCAATACTTAACAATAATTTTTCCAGCATTATCTAACCTAACAATTGCAGCAAGCGACGCTTTTTTTTTGCACTCTTGTCACAAGAAAATTTTCAACCGGATAATTTGTAATTAAATCCTTGCTTGATTGGTGAATTTTCGCAATTTATCTGAATAAATAAATAACTTTATGTAGAAAACCCCATAGAAAAAAAAGAAACTATGCCTGTGGACCAGGTCATCATATCCTACTTGCGCAGGCGAAACTGCATCAATGTCCTTCTGCTCAGATCGTTGGACCTGCTTCAGCCCGACACTCTCACCAAAACCCCCTACGAGATGATCGAGGTGTCTCCCAACGGGATCTGCTTCTCCGAGCAAAACCTGGAGTATCGCATAGACCTGGATGACATCTTCGAGCTGGCCGTCAAGTCCGAGGACGGCGACCCGCTCTATGGTATGGGCGAGCTGAGGGCCAACAATGTGTCCTTCGGACTCTATCTCCAGCAAATTGATTTGCGGAAGTTGGATCAGTTCACCGTTGACGTGTACGTGGGTGAATTGCCGCTGCGCATCAATTCCACGGCGCCCTGCTCGCTCCACTGCAGCAACTGCGCCAACGAGGTGATTCGACGGCAGCAGTTCCTCAGGATCCAGCCAGTCCCTGTGATAACGATGCGTCCGAATAACTTCTTCTGCGGTCGCTTCAAGATCCCGGTGTATCCGCAGGAGGACCAGCTCTTTTACGGATTGAACTACATGGTTATTTCCTTCCAATTGCTGGGCGACGGGGTGCTCCGCTCCTGGGAACGTCGTCAGCTGGAGTGCTCCCGCTGTCGCCAGGTCGTGGGCGAGGTCTTGGGCCATGATGTGGCCATCCAATTGTTTGCGGATGCACTGCGCGTGATGACTGACGGTTCTGGCACCAAATTTCCGGTCAAGTTCAGGGAGATCTTTGGGCACGTGACCGCCACCCAGTTGATGGTTCGCTTGCTCCACGACACCGAGCCTTTTAATCCCGAGAAGACGCGCCTACTTGTGAAGGCCGTGCGTCCCGATGGCCAGTTGCATTACCTGCAGATGCTGGTGGACACTAGCCAGGTGCACCTCCTTCGTTCCCAGCTGCCCATCCCTAGGGAGCTAGAACTTACCAATGATGCGACTTCTGCGCCGGAACAGAGTGACTCCAGTAGCGAGGGTGACCTTGAGCTCAAGAACAGCGACACCAGTGGCAGTAGCATCAACTCCGCTCCTCAAGAAGAGGAGGAGGACACGGAGCGCCCAGAAACAACTCCATATACAGTTGACTGTCACTCCCAGCCACCCGAGGAAGTTCCGAACATTATCATCAGCTATGTGGAACTTCACGGCTGCCGCGGATGCCGCATAAAGTACCTGTTCTCGGGAACCGATCAGGAGTTACAAGCTAACCAGGATATCTTGGATCAGTGGCTGGATGAGGGTACCCACGAGATGCGCGTCTCCTACCCTATGATGATGGAGCTGCTCGCCGAACTGAACGCCAACGAGAACATGGTGGCCGCCCTGGAGAAACTTCCGGCTCCAAAGAAGTGCACCCGTCCGCGTCTCAGCTATATTATCTATGAGAAAGACAGCGACTTCTATGCCAGACAGCAGCTACCACTTTCGGAGCTCGACATCTAAGTACTAGTATTCCAAAGCCATCTGAATCTGGCTCCCATCTGTATTAGGTATTATATTAAATAATTAGGCTCAGAAATATCACAAGATTTTGATTTTATAAGAAGTGTGGGAAAGGGTGAAACATACTTCTTTTGAATTAAAGTCGTCTTGGACTCTTCTTCCTAATTTAACAATTCTAATTGCTTAATTCTGCCGAACTCCATAAAATTTTTACCCGAAACCCCCATTAACCCTTTCCGTCCTTTTAATAAGAATTTCCTTTTAATATTTTTACAAGTTTTTTTTTCTTCCTGCCTTAGATTCACGGCATATTTTCCTAATTGTCTTATTGTTGGCAATTAAAACAGATTTAATTGCGGAAGGCCTTGTACATTTTCAGGACAACCGATGCGGTTTATGGTTATCCAACCCCCCAACTTGGAAGGACTGACCACATCATTAATCGTTGGCTGGTTAGCGAAAAACAATTTGTCCAAATAACAATTAGGGCCAAGCCAACAGCAAACAGCAAGTAAAGCACCCTCAGGATAGGACAAACTCAACTCAAACGCCCACGCAGCAGGAGGAGGACTCTGGGATCAGGAATCAGGATTCGGAATTGGATTAGGAATCGGGGGAATCGTTAACAGCCTTTGACGCTTGACAGTTGGCTAATGAAAATCCAAGGGAGTGAAAGTGTCCAAGGCTGTGATGCAATTTGATTAATGATGGTTCAGATTTAAAGTTCTGTTTTCACCAGTTTAAATTTCTCGGGACTCCCAGGTCCGGCTGTGTTTGCTCACAAAATCCATCCATTCTATATGCATTCCCCGTCCATTATCCCACATGCAATTTGTGGCATTGTCCATCGCGGTTTCAGCTGTTTCTCTTTTTTATTTTATTTTTGGCTGGGACAACAATGAGTTTCAATTTTGGATATGAAAGAGGATTCGTTGGCAGGTGGACTGCAGTGGCTAATGGCCTGGACCGCATTGTTGGACAGGCTTTTGTGGAATGCTTTCTGTATGACAGGGAGCCCTCCCTAGGAACTATCCTAAATTAAGAAAGTGCATAGAGGTTATCGGGAGACTGCGCCCGGCAATTGCCAATAATTAACATAATGGAACCATAAATTGCGCTAGTTGAAGAAAGTCCAATGACACAGCGCAACAATTGCGTTGGGGTGGCAATTTCTAGAGAAAGCATGCGAAATTAATACAACCGCAACGCCCCATAAATTAATTTAGAAGTGCGCCCAGGGCCTCCTCCAGCAGATCGCCCGTCAGAGAAAGTGCCACCAGTGTCCATATGGCCTTTCACTCGCTCCTCCGGCCAATTACCAAGATGTATGCGTGTCGCGCACCACAGACCAATTAACCCCCATTACGGTCAGCCCGGGGAACTGCCCCTGACACGCCACACTCGTCCTGGACGGGGTCAAGTTCTGGTCCAAATAGTGGGGGCCAGTAATTAAGATTTCCAAGAGCAGCCACCAGCACCAGCTCGAGCACACATCCGTGCCGGAGACGCAAAACAAACTCACTCCGGGGCGGCCAAATTGCTTTATGATGTTGCAGATTATGATAATGAATGATGCCATCTGGACTTGCACTTGGTAAAATGACCAGGGCTATGTTGACACTTTAAGTGATTTAATGTTATGGTCTCAGCTGCCTCCCCTCAGTGCAGGCCCCAGGCACCCCTCATACCCTTAACTTGCTGGCATATTAATAGATTTAATTTATTAATATATTATGTAAGCACCAGCTATATTTGACATTTCTTTATTTTCCTTATATATATCAAATTTTTAAAGAAGCCAAGCTAAAGCTAAGGGAAATCATATAGAAATCTTCGAATTTCAAGCCCATGAAAAAGTATTAAAGCCTGTAGTTTAATTTTATCTATTACCTTACACTTCCCTCAAGTCATAGCATTTTATTTCGACATCTTTTTCCACTCACATGAATTCATAAAAATTTATATTTGGCACAAACTTTTTTTTACATATGGGAAAAGAGATACATTTTTGCCAGTTTATTGACACAATTGCGAACAAATAAATCCCAACTCCAGGCCACCGAGAACGCCGATTGTAAATGTATATCTGTGTCCCCAGCCCAGCTCCCCTCGAATTGAGTGTGAACTGCCATTGAAATGTTTTTGATTGGAAAAAATTTAATTTCCTATACGCTTCACACTGCTTATCGCGGTTGCATTGTGCTCCAGATTCAGCAAAAAAAAATTGACATTTTTTTCGTTACCTTCTGCTGCCACTGGTATTTTAAATTTAAATCAAGTGTTGCCCCGGCGGATATCTAAACTTTTCCCCCACCGCATATGTAACCGAAACCTCAAACCACAATTAATTAAGGCAAACGCTCTTGTCAGCGGCCACAGCAATAACGAGAGAATTGACAGTGTTTGTGGTCTTTTTGCGAAAAGTTTCTCATTGCCAGAGCAGGGCTTCAATTACAATTTTTCGATTTGCTGTGCGAGAGAATGGGGATTCCCATCGAGGGAGGCGTTCATTAAACGCTCGCCAAGCCAAGCTGTCTTTTTTCGTCGGTTTGGTCCTTTGTCCCGGGAACAATGGCGGAACCGCAGAGCGAGCCGGCGCAGAAGAGTGAAATCCATTTTTTCCATTAAATCGAGCCGTCGATTTTGCATGAAGCGAGGAGGCGCAAATGTCAGGCTCCCCGGTTAGATGGGGGCGCTGCGATACCTCGATAGGTTGCCACTGCCAAGGGACAGCGTGACAGAGGGGCGGCGGAGGGCACCAGGGACACCAACGAAGCGCCACCTTCAGCCCCCGTAAAACGCATTGACATCAGACATTCAGTGGAAAACGGATTTGGACACAAAAAGAAGGAATGCTCTTCTTTTGGTTTAACAGATTTTGAAAACAAAGTAAGAGAAATATATGCAGTTTGAATTTAAAAATGTATTAAATGGGTAATAAACATGAATTGAACTTAAATGCCTTCCCCTTTTAATAATTATTTCTATTAAAAATATTTCGAATTAGCAATTACTATCACAGAGTATTTCCAGTTCGTATATGTAGCTCTCCATGCTTTCAGCCATTTCGAGATAACTTTTTCCTCCCGATTCCCGAAATTCGATACACTTGCAAATGGCTTTTTGACAAACAATGACATGGACCCACTCACCTACGATTGCGGAGACATTTCTTTTGCTTACCTTTTTTCCTTTTGGCCAACCCTCGCTCGTGGCAATAGCATTTGCAAATGAATTGCTTATTGACAGTTTGATGGAATGATTCCCTCGCTGCCAGCCGTCGATTTGCCAGGCTTTTGTTATTCTTTAATTAAACGCTTTTGCTTTGCAAAAATGGATAAAAAAAAAAGCGAAATGCACAACTGCAAAGGATTAATTTTGTGGTGAATGAGCATTGAAGGTTTTTATGCTAAGTTTTCAATAAGGAAAAGTAGTATTTCTGGAGCACACTTTTAGGATAGCACAAGAAATATTTATAAATATAATGAAAAATATAATGCCAAATTTTCTTAATTCAGAATAATATATTTATTATTATATTAATATGTAGTTGTAAAGCTTGAAATAGTTCAGATCTCACATACTCGCCAGTTACAGTTGTCAAGTGTCAAGGCTCGGCCAGAAAGTCAGTTCCGCCTGATTGCATTTAGCAGGACCCTCGACAAGGCTGGCAGGCGACATATCCTCTATCACTGCTGGGCCATTAATTGAAGTCGCCTCCGGCAATTAACAACTCGTGTATGCAAAATCCATTAAATCACTTAAAAAAGCGGAGAAGAGCACATTTGAAACCACTTCAAGAGCGAATGACACATAATACGACTACAAAACAGTTGCCGCAGCAGGCGGAGATGTGCAGGAGTGCAGGGAGATTCGCAGGACACGCACTCGGCAGCTGGGCGCGCCCCTTGCGATGTCGATGATAATGTAACAACACTCAACCTCTTGGCAAAAAATGGGACATACTCGTGGGCAGGAGGGGTTTTTTTTTTTTCAAAACAGCAAAAGGGTTGGTCCTCCTGACTTCAAGGAGCGTGGTGTGTGGAGAATCAAATGAAATTGTCACAGTCGCAAATTTAATTACATCAGCTGGGGCCGCATCCCCCCAGATGCCAGTTCCTGGGCTTAAAGCTGGCCATAAATCCAGGTGCCATTCCCCCAGACATATCCCATTCCCCGCCCCCTTTGGGTGTATCCGCTCATCAACTGTCAGAATTGAAATTCCGAAAAATGTCACAAAATTTGACATGTACAGAAAAGAACTCCCGATAATTCATATAGGTACGTATGCATGTTGGAATATGTCAAGCATGAAAAACTGATAAGGCCAGGGAAAGTCGGTCGGTCGGGGATAGAAATGAGTGGATTCCGAATCACAAATTCATGTGGCATACTTTCGGGCCGAGCAGCCAGAAGCACTCAACTAACTAACCCTTTGAGGGGCCCGAAAAAACAGCCTCATTTACAAATGGCACACCTGAGCCAAGGCTTTCTCTCCACTCCCCCCCTTTTTCAATTAGCCTAAAACCCGGTGACTAAAAGCGAAAAAATGAATGAACTGCCTAATGCCTTTTATCCCACTCATAATTCGCATAATGACAGAACATCTCGTCCCGTAATTTGGCCAGCGGACAAACAACAGCCCCGGCTGACCACTCCCGGATGCACTTCAACTTTCCACCCTGTTGCGTACAATCAGCGGCAGGACACCGAAAGCCCGGACGGATCTCCCCCGTAGCAGGACATTGTTGCAAAAGTGCGAAACCGCAAATGTTAAACGCAACACACAAGTCAATTCCGCATCCCACCCGAAAAAGCCAAGCCAAAACCACGGTGACAACCGCAACCAGGCCACAAAGCTCTTCAATTTGCTTGCCGTCTATTATGGTAGCTCATTGTGGGATTACCCGAACCCGAACCCGAGACCGAACCCACACCCAAGTCTAAGCCCTGAAACCAAACCCACCCCCAACTGGAGGCCGCACCACCGACGCGTATGCGCCTGGTTTTCGGTGAGGAATTGCTAATAAAAAGGGTGGAAAATCCACTTTGCTATGGCATTTGATTTTGATTTTTTTGCGACTCCTGGGACAGCCGGTTGTTGATGGAACGAGGGGAGAGCTGCCGCCGAGCATTGGTAGATAAAGTTGATTGGTATAGGACTCGATGACTTCTGATGTCAGCGGATAAGTAGCGGATGCACGAAGGGAAAAAGCATTGTAGAAATTAAGGAATTAGGAATTTATATTTACAAAAAACTAAGTAATTTTGAATTTATAATTTGTTAAAATTTACAATTACCAATATTGTTCATTAATCAATATTAATTTTGAACTATATTTCCTATTGTATCTAATTTTAAGACAATACTTAGTTATACTTTATATCTCCCTCCTAAAAAGAGATCAAGAAAATTTAATAAAAAAGTTTAATAAATCCGATAGACATATAATCAACCATTAAATTGTTCAAAGAAAAAATACCCCAAAAAACGGCGAATAATTACTTAAATTATATCAAAGTCAATGTCAATAGAGGAATCTCCTTCAATTGACCAATAAAACCGTCAAAAGCTAATACCATCTGCACAATGTGAACACTCAAGCCGAGACGATGATGATTACCAGACTATTTTCGGGGGAAAAGAGAACAAAGAAGCGACCTCCAGCTGGGCGACTTTTGTGCAGGTCCTGTAGGATTACACTCGATTACAGGATACATTACAAGTTCGACGGGTGGCAGTGCCACCGGTACCGGCTCACCCGCTGGGAATGATCAATCATCAAGTCCAAGGGAAATCGCCGAACTTTCATGCCATTCCGGCCGACCGAGCACGGTCAGTCAGGTCTCAGCTTTCGAGTTTCCAGCTCGCATTATAATCATAGAGCAGCAACCCGATGTTAATTATGAAATTGCGCTTCGGTTATCCTGGTTGCTGAACAAACAAATCGTTCTGCAGCGATATCAAAGAATGTTTTTGCATTTGGTCCGGCCCGGGCGGAGCTTAATGAAAACCGGAAATCCACTTGCTGCCGCCCAACTCCTCCGTCGGTTCCAAACTTATTGCGTGCTATTACATCTGTCCGGGGCGAGTCTGTCTGGGTTTTGAGATCTGTTTGCTTTAGTACTTGCCTTCCTCTTTTTGAGTTCCTTTTTAGGCGATTAATTAATGCAATTAATCTGCTGGCTGACTCCCCGGTTCGCTACGAAGCTGATGGACTTGTTTGGGGGCGCACTTGTATTCCCCGTTCGGGGAATGAGTGTAAATAAATGGTTAAGATTAAGTTGAGATTATTACTAATCAAGGAATTCATTAAGCCTATAAACAAAGATGTGTAGGAGCAGAGGAAGCATGACAATTAATATATGGTGCATATGTGGTTAAAAGTTACTTATATTATTAATATTGACAAAAATCCAAACTATCTGTAATATCTTAAAGAGTAATGTCTGGATTATTCATACTCTTTAGAGTACTTAAAAAATCGTTTGAAAATCTCAATTATTGGAGACCAAATGCCATTAGTTTTTGATCTGTCTAGGTTACGCCATAAACCCACATCAGTAAAAAAGGGTAGGTCCTGTGAAATCGCATTCAGAATTGCTAGTGTCGCAATCGTGGCACTCAGCGATTGGAACTGAACAAATTACCATATTAATTGCTACTAATTAAAAATTCATTAAAACACTGCATTGCGGCCAGGGGCCAGGACCAGGCCAGGCCAGACCGGAGCAAAATCGGGCAATTTATTATGCTTTGTCATCTCGGTCGACAGGAGTCCGTGTGCGCCAACGATAATAATAAACATTTTCATTTTCATAATTCCTACTCTTTTATCGCTGCGGAATCAATGAGTTCGAGTTCATAATGGTTGCCCATCGGTGTGTACTTTCAATTAGTAGCCAACTCCGGGCCATAACTTACCAACTAAAATATGCAAAAACACTGTTCCCTGCTGAAAGTTTCAATAGCATCGATTTGTGGCCCTCTGCTGGCTGTAATTATGAGCTCAACGAGCCCACATCCCCTCCTAATGCCACATCCCCATCCATTCCGGCATCACCTGTAACATCTGTGTGCCCCCGCCCCTTGTTGGGTCGATGTCTGTTCAAGCCATAAATTCCGGCTGTGTGGCACATTAATTAATTTGGCTTTGTGCGCCATTTCAAAAAGGATTATTTACCGCTGTCCTGCGCACATATGCAAGCCTGTAATGTATCTGCGTGTGCAGCCCCAACGGGGTTGACACATGTGATTAGTTTCTGCCTTGAATAATTAGACTGAATAGAAATGATAAGGGATCTATATGAAAACTATAGAAATAGTGAGGTATCTTACTTTATTTCTTAAACTCAGTTCACCTCAAAGAGGTGCGAGTCCTAACCCCTTCTTTCTGCCTAAAAAAAGCACTTCTTCTCAGCTGTGCTACCGAAAACTTTGTGACATTATAAAATCTAATGAACAGAAATTAATTTACAATAATAATAACTCAGCTAACACGGAACATCCGGAAGGAGTTACCGCGTATACAGCGACTGAACCCCAGGGAGCAGCTTTGGTTTACGATTGCAGCACTCGTTCCTCCGCCACTGGACTGGCTTTGAAAGAGTTTCCGCTTACAATTTGCATAAAACTCTTCGGAAACCTTCGCGCAGCTGATGGCGTTAATAAGCGGGAGTCCAATTTTAGTGGGTGGAAGGAGCTTACCTGTTGCCTGGGCCTCCGACTTCGATTCCCAGCCGCCGCTGCTGTGTAAATGGATCGCCCTGTGAAATGCGGTAATTGTGTGTAATTAAATCCAACTCTGTAAAACAAATGACAACACTTTGCCGACAGCCAGCTGGAGATGGAGTAATGTTGTGGTGGGTGGGGCTTGAATTTGGCTGTCCTTTGAGGTTGCTAGGACACAACCCTTTACTCTCGTCCCGTTCCTGGCAGCGTCTTGTCTTAATTATGTAGCGTGAATAATTTTTGCTCTTTGTGCGGTTTCTGTTCACGAGTCATTGATATTATTTAAAATTTGTGTGCTCAAAGGGAGAGTCTTCTTCTCGCATTAATTAGTGAGCACTTTGTTTTGTGTATTCTGGAAGGGAAATTCAATTAATGCAGCTTAAAGAAGTAACTCTTATTTCCTTTCTTCTACAGACGATGCCTCACTAATTTTCACAGTTTTCGGTAGTATTTACTTTTTTGTTTATTATTTTTTTATCTTTAAAATTTATGTATTTAATATTTTTTAAATTCCTTATAAAACCGGCCAGAAATTTAAATTCATTTCGATTACTTTGGCGCCGCTTGGCAGTAGCAACAACAGTAGCAGCAACCACAACTTTTTACCTTTATCGTGTGACAATTTTAAATGTTTACCCATTTTTTGTCTAGTCTCTTCAAACTCTTTTATTTTCGCTTGTGGTAACGCTTGTCTGCCTTCAAGTTTTTTGTTTATTTGTGGCTTTCATTCAGCGAGTCGGATATCGCCGGCGACAATTTGCGGTGCCAGCAAAAAACTATTTGAAAGTGCTAAATTTCAGATGGGACAGGAGCACACAGAGCAGGGATCTCGGCTTAGCCGGCACACAATTTCGTTATTGGCCGGGTGAAAAACTGGTGTCGCTGATTGCTGGATTGTTGGCTGATTGAAACCACCAGAAAGTGTCGCTGCAACTTGCCACCGATGTTGCCGTTGCAGCTGGCTCCGTTTTGTTTTCGCGTGGGTGTTGCAATTGATTGCGGACAACGGGAAAGCTGCAAAATTTGCATTTAATTTGATTGAGCTTGCTCCGCAATGTTTACAAGTCAAAGAAGGTGCTAATGAGTGAACAGCGTGTGGGCTGGACTCATGTGCAGTGTTGACTTTGGCCCGGTTAATGGTCTTATTGATGTCTTTATCTGGCTAAAAGGATCCAGTTCTGTGCATAACATTAAAGACTTTAAAAAAGAAGTACAAAATAATCTTAAAATACACTGGCTAGTAAATAATTGCTTTCTTAAACATATAAACATCTTGTAATAAAGACTGCGTTTTATATTTTTATATGCCGTTGAAATTCTAAAGAGTTAGCTTTCTTTTATATATTATTCTAATTAATAATCTCAAATTAGTTCTTATTCCACCATAAATCCCCTAGTCTTTGCAGCCCCACTGAACTCTCATTCACTTCCAAAATATTGTTGCAAAACCGATTACGTTATCTCTTGGCCACGAGCATCCACTGCGACCTGGCCAAGTGTCGTAATTAACCTTGGAAACGGGCTGCGACTAATCCTGAATTATTATTTTTGGTAGTAGTAAAGATGCTTAATGGTTTATTTTCAATTTACGGCCAGAAGCCAGCCGCTCGCCATATGAACAATTAAAAGGGTTTTTGGAGGCTGTGCGTTTGCTTCCATCCATTTCTCCCCAGCCGGGAAGTGTTTCCGAATCATTTGCATATGAATTTTCAACCTTTCCGCCTCTAGTTGAGCATTCAAATTACTGTTATTATTATTTTCACTCATATGCAGAGGGACGGTGGCTGGCGCCAGAGGTTGAGGGTTGTGCTGTAACCATTAAAAGGCCAGCACGACCTTTGGCTGGGAGCAGTTCCGTTCTCGGATTTTAATTCTATTAGACGGGTGGGGAGGACGTGAGCCAAGGCCGCTTATCTGAAGACACACACATGTGTCCCTGCTCGGGCGCCAAAAAGGTTAAAATTATAATTTGCGGCTTCTGCTTGCCACTTTATTACCCTCGGAACAAAGTTTGGCATTTTTGGCAGCCAACAAGCCGCGACCACGATGTTGACACGCTTAATTTCTTGGCCGCATTCATGGCATTTGTTTACATCGTTTAGCCGGCACCCCAAAGACAAAAGGGATTTTTAATGGCTTTTTTGGCGCTTGGCTTATCGGCGGCGGATATCCTTGGCAGCTGGCTTGCCACAAAACAAATAAAGGTTACTCGTACTTTGCCACTAAACAACTCGCATGCTGCTCATTCGCTCGCTGTTTATTTTGTTTGTGTTTGGGCCCCGAAAGTGTAAAGTTTTCCCACTTGTTCGAGGATAAAGCGTGAGATAAGCGTGGCTGGGTTTGAATTATTTCGTTGGGTTTCCTGTCCGCCAGCGGAGACTAGACTTCAGCATCAGGGCTTGGGGTCAGATGGAGGTGAGGCTGTGTTGTTACCTGGCTTGACTTCCTTAAGCCGAAACAGAGAAGCGGAGACTTTGCCCAATCCATTGCCTTCTTAATGTCTGCAAGTTAAAGCTAATGGGTTCGGAAGTCTTTATATCTGCAGATAAATAAACTATGCCAAAAAGTATTATATTTAAATAAAATGGTAATACTGAGATTAACCTTAAAGAAATGTATGGCAAATCTCTATTTAATCCCCAAGACTGCACTCAAATCAACCAATGCTCCATCCCCGCCCACACACCTTAGAATAACAAATTGTCAACACATAAGATGGCATTTAATCTTCAACAAATTGCCGAGGCACTTGTAAGGACAGCTTAAATAAATAGTACGCGCCTTCGTCACTCGACTGCCGCTCCACTTCTGCGCTCCAGAGGGCAATCTGTCAAGGCAAGAAACTGAAATACGCATCGTGTTATGCAGGAAATTTTTGTAAAATCGTTTTTTATTCTCCCCTCGCTCCGATGATGGCTGCGAAATTTGCATTTTAACTCAATAAATTCACTTTGCATGCGGCAGCAGTGTGGTGCTCTATAAATCTGTTAGAGTCTAACGACTACAAGCTTCTGGCTGGAAGGGAGTTCTCTGACTGGCTGGCTGGCTGTCTGGCTGCTTGGCTATATCTGGTTGGTAATACAGCCCGCGGCGGCTCAGTCATTTCCCAGCTACTGATTTGCTGGCTGCGAGTGAATCCATCGCCGGCTTATGGGATTACACCAAGTGTGAGTGGATAAATAACTCACACCGTACCTGGAGAGGTGGAAGCCACGAAGCCTGCTCCTTTTGTCGCCGCCTTGAAGGCGATATTTGCGTTATTTACGATTATTTACCATTTCACAATTTACATGTGCCAACAACATCCCTCGCCTTGTATCTTGATATGCTGATTCTTCCCGATTCTTTGGCACTCTTATTTATACCACAATTACTTGGTCTTAACTCGGGGATTTGCTGGGTTCTTTAGTGGCAAGTAAACAGTTTACAGAGAGAGAGTTGGGTGAAATGATTATAAAAAGTAATCTATTGAAGATGCTTGTGGTGCGGATTATGGAATACATTGACTCTGCAATTAGGGGACAATTATTGGCTAGGAATCGTTATCATCAATAAGTTACTAGCTGAGTAGAAGATTTCCTTGACTCTGCAATTAGGGGACAATTATTGGCTAGGAATCGTTATCATCAATAAGTTACTAGCTGAGTAGAAGATTTCCTTTAGATTTTATCCAACTTCAACCAAATTCTTTTTATTTAAAAATACATTAGCTTCGATTTCATTTAAAAAGTCTTTACCAACTGTTTATGGATTCATTTAATTCGCACATTTGGCCGGCACTCACTGGCCCATTTCAATTGTATTTATGGCACAATAAGCCCAGAGCAATTACATAAAGCGCGCACAGCACATTGTCCCATATCGGTGGACCGACCCCATGCCAGGCCAACCAGCGAAGCCACCGCAGAGGAGCGCGTTCGAATAAGCAAACGAATGCTGAGACCAGAGACCAGTTCAGCCCGGCAATTTATGCACTGGTGCGATATTTGGCCGACGGCATTTTGATTATTGAACCGAACCCAAATCGCTGAGCTGCCTCCACGGCAGGCTGCGGAGAAACTTCTGTGCGGATTGTGGCCGCAACCACCAGAGTTTGCAACTAATTGAATTATTAGCACAGGCTGCGAGGCTGGGATACTCGGTGTCTGCATCTCCGGCTCGTACTGTGAAATTATTGTTGTTCGGTGGTTGACAAGGATCAGTGCCGACGCCTTATTTGTGTTCTTGCTCATTGCAACGGACCCAGGTTCCCTGAATCCCTGCTTTCCTGTTGCCTGCCCTCCCATTGACCTGTCTCTACCCGAAAAACCGACACCCGGGGGCAGTGGGTGGCCCTGCTCTAACAAGCGGGTGTTGGCCACGTCCAGATTGGGTCTGGCTCTGGCTCTGGGACCAGGAGTGGCCACTGGAGTGGGAGTAACTCGGAACCGCCCTGCCCGGCGGTGCTCTGCCTGCTCTGCGACATGTGCACACGTATTGTTCTTGTAAATCATTGATTAATTCTTACTTTTGCATATGATTAGAGAAAGTTGTCGAGGGCATAACTGCAAGT